GGGCCGGAGCGGGGCGGCTGGAGCGGAGCGGAGCCGGAGTCCCCGCGAGCGCGGAGACGCTGACGCCCGCCCGGCCCCGCGGCAGGCCCGGCATGGACGAGTGCCGGGTGCTCTCCATCCAGAGCCACGTCGTCCGCGGCTACGTGGGCAACCGGGCGGCCACGTTCCCGCTGCAGGTACGCTCCGCCCCGGCCCGGCCGGCCTTACGTAACCCGGCCACTGTCCCCGCGCCCGGCCGTGCGGGCCCGCGGCGGGGTGGCCGCAGGCGGGCCGCGTGACCTTGGCCGGGCCACCGAGGTAGCCGCAGGTCCCCGTCTGGAGCCCGTGGTGCCCGATGCGGGCCCGGGAGGCGGGCGCTTTGCGGGGGCGGGGGGCGCTGGGGGCGGCCCCTGCGGGTGGGATGGGGCGGGGGTCGGGGGCGATTAGTTACGATGGAGCCCCGGCGCACGAGCTGTGCGCACTCGCCAGCCTCCGCCCCTTCCCGCCGGTCCGGCCAGCTGCGGGCGGGGGCTGCCTGGAGGCGAGAAGATGCGGCGCAGCGGCCGGGGAGTCACGCGAGCCGGGACCCTGCCCCCGGAGCGGAGGAGGAGGGGCGATAGCCAGGTGCCTGCAGTGCTCACCTGCTGGGCGCCCCGGGTTTTGTCTCTGCCCACAGTGGGCCAGGATGCTGGGAGGGAGGAGGAGGAGGAGTAAGCTCATGGGTAGTGAGGCCCCCGGGCCGACGAGGGTGGGTCTCACCACCCCCGCTGCGGCTGACCATTCTGGGAGATGGTCGCCGGGCCGGGGGATAGGGCAGAGAAGGCCTGCCTGCAGGTGTGGCCCCTGAGGAAGAAAAGCCCGGAGACCAGTGCATGCCCGTGCAGGGTTTGGCTTTAGAAGCCACCTTCTAAATGTGTTAACCTTTCCCTACTGGCCATCCCTGCCTGTGCTGGTGGGGGCCTCACATCATCCCACTGCGGCTCACTGGCAGGCACCCACTGATTCCTATTGCAGCCCCGTGGTTATGGCTAGGCGGCCCTTGGAGGGGCAAGAGGAGGCCTGGGTGCGGTGGAGTGGCATTCTGGGCCAGAGGCAACACCGGGGTAACCGGCACTTCATTGCCTTGTTGGCCCAGCAGGAGCGCTGGAGGCTTTGGGCAAGGTGGTGGCTCTCCTGTACCGTTCACCTTTGGCCTGTTGTCCTGGGCCCGATCCCCGATCGAGGAGCAGGTCTGCCAGGTCCTGGGGCCCCTGCTGTGCATGCTCTGTCCTGTGCTGGGCGCTGCCTGCGGGCTGCAGGCTGGCTGGAAGGACCGTAGGAAGGGTTGGAAATGCCTCCCAGTAGAGTTTAAGGGCTAACCTGAGGCTGGGGGGCCTGGTGCTGAGGAGGAAATAGTGGAGCAAAGGCTTGAAGGTGGAAAGGTACCAGGGTTCCGTCTGAAGTGGGGCGGCCGCCGCTCATCTGAGAGCACCTGTTGAGAAGTGTCTGGTGCTTCGCGCACAGTCCTGTCCCCTCTCATTCTGGCCAGTGGGGGGCAGACCCCCTGGGGTGGTCAGGGTGCAGGCCTGGGATTGTCCCACAGCCCCTGCTCTTGGCCACTGCTCTGGACAGACTGCCCGCCCCTAGCTCCTTGGGGAGGGGAGGCAGGTTAGGTGGGTTGTGTGGGCAGAGCCACTGGGACTGTGCTTGGGGGGAAAGGTGTAGGGACCCTAAAGCTGGGCAGCCTGGGAGGGTGGAGCCAGGCAGGGCTCTGAGAACAGCTTCAGCTTGCTGCCCAGCAACAGGGGCATCCCCAGCCCAGCGTTGGCCAGGGCGCCCTGGGAACCGCCCTTGGCAGAGGTGTGTGGGCCCCCGCTGGCTTCCCCCTGTGCCCTCTGCCCCGTCCTCCTCCCCGTCCCCCTGCTGCCATGCCTTTCTTTCTCTTTTCGCTGGGCAAACTGTTCCCTTCCTCAGCTCACCCCGGTGCTGCAGCAATGTCCCCAGTTCCTGAACTTCCAGGCACATACCCTCAACTTCCACACTCACTTGAGGGAGGGGGCTCCTCCAGACTGCCCACCTGGGGAAGTAAGTGCCTCTTAAGGACAGAGCTGCTGTTCTTACCTGGGGCCTCCCCAGTGCCCAGCATCCTTACCTGTGGGCTTGAGGGACAGAGGCTGGTGGGGGGAGCGTTGTGTCATCTCCTCCCTCCTGTCATCCCTGGGGCAGGGGTGACACCGCTCTCTGATTTAATTTATCCCTGCACTTCCTCCCCTCAAGGTTTGTGAGGTTTGTGAGGTCCAGGAGGAGCATGGCGGGCGAGTGTGATGGAAGGCAAGGCCTCTTCTTTAGGGTTGTGACCTTGAAGAGGCCACCTTCTACATGGAGCCCTCTGGTGCTCAGTTGCCTCTTCTGTAGATAGATGTGAGGCCTGTTTAATAGGTTGTTTTAGGACCGGGGGAGATGGGGAGTACAGCAGGGTCTTGGGGATGCCGACTGCTGAATGAGGTGGGCCAGCAGTGCCCAAGGGTGCCTTACTCACCTGCCACTGTGCAGAAGGACCAGGCAGGAGGGTGGGGTGGGTGGTACCCACGTGTGCCGGGGCATCTCGTGGAGGCCAGGACCCCTGTCAGGAGTGGGTGTGGGTTGGGTCCTCCCTTCCTTCCCTGTGTCCTTTGCCCCAATTACCTCCTCCTCCTCCTAATTACAGTAATAAGATGTAGTTTTTGGGGGATGGAGTGAGCAGAGGAGAGGGGGAAAGCCAGGGATGGTGGTGTTCAAAATGTGCTCCCCCGCAGCTGGACCTCAAACAGGGCTGTGTTGTTGTGTTCGGGCGGCTGTGACAGAGCACCACAGACCAGGCGGCTTAAACAACAGCAGTTGATTGTCTCACGGTCTGGAGGCTGGGAGTCCACAATCACAGTGTCAGCAGAGTTGGTTCCTCCTGAGGCCTCTCTCCTTGTAGACGGCATCTTCTCCCTGTGTCCTCACATGGCCGTCCCTCTGTGTGTGTCTGTGTCCTGATCTCCTCTTCTCATAAGGACACCATTCAGATTGGGTTACAGCCCACCCTAGTGACCTCATTTAACCTCTTCATCTCTTTAAAGACCCCGTCTCCAAATACAGTCACATTCCAAGGTGCTGGGGGTTGGGGCTTCAGCATAGGCATTTGGGTGGGACATAGTTCAGCCCATCACAAGAGCAATTTCCAGAAGCTTCTTAGTTCCCAGGACGCTTTCTGCCCTTAACCACTTAGCGCTTCCTGAGTCTGGATTCCTTGTTGGTCTGCGTGTGCTTCCTTTGGCCCAGGCTGCTTGGCTCTTGTAGAATCAATCTGTTGGCACTGCAGGATGCTCCACAGAGTCCCGTGTGGGCATTTTGCTCCCCTACCCCTATGTCTGAGCACCGCTGGAGCAGGGAGGAGCAGGGAGACAGGTGGGGATGGCCCGCCGACTGGGCGTGCACCAGCCTTAGCGCGCACAGGATGCGCTGGGGAAATGGCCTTAGAGTCTCATACTTGGCAATTCCAGCTGGAGTTCGGAGGGGAGGCGTCCCCGAACTCCCAGAGCTGTGCTTGGTGAGGGGTATATTCGGAGTTTTGATTGGCATCCTACAGCTGGAGACTCTAGAGGTACGCCCGTTCACACAGCTGAGTATAGGAAGGGAACTTAGAAATGGCGGGAGAGGTGGCTCTGCCTGGGCCCCACAGATCTGCCCTCATGCTACTCAGAGACAGACTGGAAAATGTGTGGGAGGGGTGGTGGAGAGGCCATCTGTGGGGACTGTCCCCATGTCCCCTCATCTTGGAGTTCTGGCTCAGGGACCGGGCCCTGCCTTCTGAGCCTTTTTAAGCCTCGTCTGCAGAGTAAGAGCAGTCCTCTTGGCAATCAGAAGGTGCCGGGCGCCCAGGGCGCTGCCTGAACGGAGCTCTGCCCGTGTTGCCAGCACAGCTGCTGCACGGTGAGCCTGGCACGGATTTGTGCCTGCTGGACGCCTGTGGGTCTGGCCTTCGGGGCTGTGGTTCCCAAACTGCTTTTGGCCAGGTCCCCAGAGCACACTGCTCATGGTGTCACGTAGAGAAAAACGTTGTACAGTAGAGAAAAGAGCAGAATCTTGACCCTGTTTTTCAATTTCTTTCCAGGCTTGAGTCTAAAGTACATTTTAGTGGCGGAGGGGAATGTGTTAACCTGACCAGCGACAGAGGAGATAGAGCGTCAGGCAGGATGATCCGGTATTTGCAGAGGGTGGGGAGAGTGGGTGTTTGCAGAGAGCAGGGAGAGTCAGGGCAAGCCTGTGACCCCGTCCCCTCCTCCCCCGCCCCTGCGTGGAGAGGGGGCTGCAGGTCAAGGGCAGACAGGCCATATGACGTGTCTGCCGTATGGCCTGTCCGTGCAGGGCTGGGGACTGTTTCCAGTAGAAGTTCCCGTTGGAGATCAGAGGACGCTGGATGAGGGTTGAGCTGAATTGTAGGGTGGACCGGTAACAGCTGGTAGAAGGGACAGGGAGCTGGGCCCCTGAGGCTGATGAAGATGACAACAGTCACATGACACCCTCGTGTCCCCTCTCTTCTAATTCTAATTTCCTCTGAAAGTGGCTAAAGTCTTGCAAAACAAGCCACAGTGGGGATTCTTGAAGACAGCGACTCTTGTCCCTGCCCAACACTAACCTCTCCCCCAGGAGGAACCAGGGTGGTCTGGGTGGGTGGGGACCTGCCCTGGAATATTCCAGAGCTTCCCCACTCCTGCTCTTCTGAGCGCTCTGCCTCCCCAACGAGGGCGGATTGCCGAGCTGCCGAGTTAACGACCGTGTCACTGTGTCTGCCTCACTGTCAGCCAAGTGGGCTGGTGATGCAGCATCAAGGCGGGCATCTGGCTGCTGGGAGCATGCGTCACCCGCCCAAGGCCGAGGGACCAGAGCGTGGCTTCAGGCCCCTCTGGCACATGTAGCTGCCCTTGAGGAGGGACACTGCCTGGAAAGGCAGCCTGAGGCCTGCATGGGGACAGAGGATGGGAGCCTGTTTTGACGGCATCCGGCTGCTGTGGGGGGTTAGACTGGAGAAGTTGATTGCGTCCTGGCCGTCATTGCTCTGTGTGTCTGGATGACTACGGAGCATTTGAAAGCGCTCTACCCACGTGCACCTGTGCACTGATTATTGCCGTGTTTCCCCTGCACATTGGCAGGGATAGGAAGCTGGAGTCGTTTCTGAGCCATCCCGCCAGCCTGGGCTCAGCCTGGGAGTGAGGAGTCTGAGTGGCCTCCTCTCTTGGCAGGAGACTGGGTTCTCCCCACACACCATGTGCACGTCCACACTGCTCTTCTGTCAGTAGGTTGACAGGCCCTGCCAGGTGACAGGCAGCGTGTCTGATGTCAGGACCCCGCCAGAAGTGCCTCCGAGTTTGGCTGGCTGTGAATCTCAGTGGCCCCTTTCAATCTGAGACCCCTGCCTGCTCAGCATCAGTTGTGGTCGCGTGGTCGTGTGTAGCCAGATTTCCCTTTGCAGCCCGAGCGGGGTTGGGTCGTAGTTGGTGGGGAGCGGGGGCTTGCTGTGTTGTGGGACTTCTCGGCCAAGGCTTCTGGCTTTTTCTGAAGTGAGAGTGGGTTTGCTAGTAGAGCCTGAGGCCAGGGCTTTGACCACCACCAGCCTTCTTTGTTGAGAGGTGCATGGGATGGTGGGCTTATCCTGGGGGGGCCACAGGTGGTGGGGAGCCCCAAAGTCCTGAAAACCCCGCCAAGTCCAGGTGCAGCAGCAGAGGCTGAGAGGGCGAGGTTGGAACAGGGCTTGGAGGCTGGAAGGAGGACATTTAGATTGAAGAGAGGAGCTCACAGAGGTTTCACAGCTTCCTAGGGTTCAGAAAGTGGCCAGCAGCTCTGCAGCCACAGCGTGGAAATCACAGAATGGGGGTCTGGGCTTCCTCCCACGGGCAGTGGCAAGCCCTCAAAGTTTGGGGTTTAGCGGGGTACATCTAGGAGTGAGAGGAGGGGACGAGGAGAATGGTGGCAGGGAGGCCAGTTAAGACTCACAGGAAGGGGAGTAAGGGGCCATGAAGCAGGCTCGCAGGCTGTCACAGCAGAGATGGGGCACTGGAGAGAATTCCCCGAGCACCTGGCGCCTGGCTGGTGGTGGGATGGGGAAGCTGGAGGCAGAAGGGGAGGCACGACCTCAGTCGGCTGGCTGACGGAGGGCAGTGCTGGGAGGGGAGATCCTGCTTGTCTGCGGCAGCAGGAGTTGGTGGAGGTGGTGTTTCTCCCCTCTCTCTTCAAGGCCTTCCTCCCCTCATTCTCCCTGGGCTGAACTAGTCAGTTCTTCCTCTTTTTTCTTAAAACAAGTCTTATTTATATCTTTTTACTGTGTGTTGGTGGTGTGCTGGTAAATGTTACAAAACTGGCTGGGGGGTCGGGGAGGGCTGATTGATAGTGTGTGTGCCAATTTCCATGGTGTCAGTACTTCCAGCCGGCTGACGGTAAGCTGCTGGCGTGAGTTGGAAGAGATGCACGGTGGCCTCCATTGTGCAGAATTCTGCCATGCCGATCCAACCAGCGCAGAAAGCTCGAGATCCTGGCTAATGGAAAAGTACAGCAAACTAGTTAGGGGGTGGTGAGGCTAGAATATTTCTTATATTTGCTTTAGACATAATTTAGGTGTGTAGTTTTATGACTCAGTTTTTAATAATGGCTGTATATAAAACTGACTTGCACAACTGCATTGCTCAACACGTGACCTCTATCTTTGAAGCCAGCAACAGTGCATCCAATCCTCTCATTCACATTGCTCGGATTTCTTCTGCCCATCAGCCAGAGAAAACTCTCTGCTTCTAAAGGGTTTGTGTTATTAGACTAGACTCGCCTAGATAATCTCCCCTTTGCCACAGAACATAATCAGGGGAGAGAGATCACAGTTCCAGGTTCCGGCCACACTCACATGGGGTTGTGCAACGGCGAGCGAGGGCCACTGGGGCCATTCTTAGAATTCTAAGAATCCACAGGAGCCCACAGGCCATTGAGGAAATGTTTTACATTTACTGTAAAACCATGTGATTCTCACCCACGAGAATACATAGACCAGCAGTGCTGTCCTGTAAATTGGCCCATATCGCGTGGTCTTGATAGTCAGTAGGGTCCGCGGGCTCCCCTGGTCTGCTCCCATGTAATGTGATTCATGTGAAGGCTGCCAAGGTTACAGGAACTTGATCTGCCCTGCACACAGAGCAGGAGGCGAACATAGGGGGAGCCCAGCTGCTCACCCTGTGCGGGTGTCCGGGACACAGGACTGACCCCTGGACAAGAGTCAGTCTCTCTCTGGCTCCCCTGGGGGTGGGAGAAGACAGAATGTGTCAGGCCGGGGCCAGTCCAGAAACAGAAACCAGAGCAATTATTTTCACAGAGAATTTAATAGAGACAGTTGTTAAAGCAGGTATTGGGAGAACAGAAAAGGGAAAAGGGAACATGAAGATTTGGTGGAGGCGGCACCAGCCAGCAGCTGACACTGTGGGATCAGAGAGAAGAGGTTGTGGTCGTTAGAACTTAGGGAGTTCGGGGGGAGGGGGGGCTGTGGGGGGTGTGATGAGGCGCTCTGCCTGTGACGGAAAATCCACAAAGTGGAGTTAGTTGCTGCTAGGGGAAGGCCCGTCACTGCCTGGGAGAGGAAGAATGCTGGGATAACGCCACCTGGAAGACGCAGGACCCTCCTCTTCTCCCAGTTTCTCTCTCTCTCACAGGGATGTGATTTCCAGGTCAAAGCCCCAGCATCACAGGGCCGAGTACAAAGGGCGAGTTTGAGCTGAAGACTAGATTTTAACCACAGGAGCCTCCTTCCTCTGGGGGCCAAGGGCTCCGTGTTGGAGCTCGGCCCCTCTGTGTGGTCTTTTCCTGAGTCTCGCTCGGCCCCACGTGTGTGGTTTGATAGGTGCACTCAAACTAACGTGTCATACTGACTAATAAGCCCATTTCCCTGGCGGTATTTGAAATGGAGATGCCAGCCCAGGGGCTTAGCTCTCTCTGTCATTTCAAAGCAGAAAATAGCGACTTCCAATTGGCCAGCTCCAAAGGATTAATTATCTGCACATCTAGAAGCAATGGAGCAAGATATTTTGGCAGGGTTTTCAGGATTTGTGTCATCATTGCTTCTAATCTGTTTCCTCAGAATCGATTAGAATTTTAAAGCATTTGAAGTACTGCTATATCCCTGTCTAGGAGGCCGTGAGATCTGGAAAGTCAACTTGCAAAGTGCCAATTTTAACTTTTTAGTTTAATAAGATGGTTGATTTTTGTTTTATTACTTTAAGTCCTGGTAATACTGGCTTAAAATGTTTAGGAAGACTTGTTAAATACAAATCATAAATGTATAGCTCAGTGAGTTCACAAAGCGAATGCACCCCCGTCACCGCCACCCACGTGAAGAATGGAATGTGAGCAGCACCCAGAAGCCCGCTCCCAGGCGCCACCCCCGCCTTCCCAGAGGCAGCCGCTCTCCTGATTGCCCACACCAGAGAGTTTTGCCTATTTTTGAACATTAAAGGGAGACTTGAAGGTTGGTTGGTGGTGTTCGGGTGAAGAGGGAAAGGCAGTTTTGGGAAGTTGTTGGTGCACAGGAGAAGGCAAGGACAGCCAGAGCAAAATGGCGGAGGGATGGGGGCCACTGGGGCCAGCCTCTCCCCTTGGTTTCTGACCTCCCTGTCTCTCTCTCTCTCATATACACACACACACTCACACACTCTCTCTGTCTCTCACACTTTCTCTCTCTTTCACACTCTCTGTCTCTCTGTCACTCTCTCTGTCTCTCATACAGTCTCTCTCACACAATCTCTGTCTCTCACACTCTGTCTCTCACACTCCGTCTCTCTCACACTCTCTCTGTCTCTCACGCTCTGTCTCTCTCACACTCTCTGTCTCTCACGCTCTGTCTCTCTCACTTTCTCTCTCTCTCACACTCTCTCTGTCTCTCTCACGCGCTGTCTCTCTCTCGCCCTCTCTTTGGGACGTTCTGCAGGTGAAGAGGCCCACCCTTCTCCACGTCCCCCTCTGTAGTACTGCGGTTTTAGGTAACTGTGCTCTGTGAAGGATCTGTTTGTCTACTCCGGAGTTTGTTGGAATCTCTCACCTACCCTGTCTCCTCCCTCTCTTTGTCCTTGTGGATCAGTGTTATACAAAGGTCCTTTGTTCTCATTTTCCTGGGATTTGGGGGAGGGAGAGGGTCTGAAGGTCAGTGGCCACGTTTAACTAGAAGTCCTGGCAGTAGGTTTTCGAGGACTTGAACACCCCTTGGCCTTTCTCCTCATTCCCCTGGTCGGTCCCCTTCCCCTTGTCAGCAGTTGAGTTCATGGCCGTGTCCCCGACTTCCCGCACCCCAGGCAGGGCCTCTGTCTTCGCACTTCCGTCGGTGGGCCTGGCGTCCCACTGCTTATGTGTGGCTCATTTGGGTGGGGTCTCTCGTGCTGGCCCTTGGGTGGCCTCAGCTGTAGAAGTGGACTTCCCAGGGGACACCTGGCTGAGACCCAGGAGTGAGGAGGGAACGGAGGGGAGACTCAGTGCCCCTTGGGGTGGGCTGGGGCCAGGGCTGGGGTCTCGAGCAGGGCGCGAGGGAGACGGACACAAGGAAATATGTGTGGTCTATGTGTCCGATCAGTAAACGCTCTTTAAGCCCTGCTCGGTCCCCGCGTGTCCTAAAGAGTGGGGTCTTGCGCTCCTGGGGCCCCGACTGTCACAGAGGACAGCAGCGACTGACCCGCCATGCACTGCAGCGCTGGTACAGTGGGCTGGGGACAGCTGTGGTGGAGAAGCCCGGGGGCCATGGAGGTGGAATGGGGTGTGATGGAGCTGAGAGAGTTGAGGAGAGGGTGGAGGACTCTTCCTGGCTGGCCAGCTGGCCCCTCTGCAGCCTCGTGCAGGCAGGTGCCGGGTGGGTGGCAGTGTGGGCCCAGCGCAGCCCCAGAGGGAGCTGCAGGCGTGGAGGGGCCGGTGAGGGGTGCACTTCCCTCAGGAAGGGTAGTGGGAAGTGGTGGGGTAACGTGGGAGACTGAGAGGCTGTGCTGGTGGCCTGGGTGGCATGGAGCAGACGGAGACGGGGAGGCAGGTCCCAGGACTCGGTGAGCCTGTGTCCCTGGATTTCCAGGCATGGCTGGTTCTGTTCACGCCGATCCTAGCGGATGACATGGTTTTTGTGGTCCGGCCTTGTGTGAGGACAGCGCTCTCAGTTCAGTCCCACGTCCCAGCCGTGGGCAAAGCCAGAGCCTCTGAATGGAGAGATGATGACCTTCTCCCACTGATGGAGCCAGCGGGACAGCCCAGCTCTCAGCGTGCGTGGAATCCAATTTAAACACCTATCGTCATGACGTGGTTTCACGTGGCTCCGAAGTCAGCGCCGGCCGAGAGCTTGTTTGGACTCGAGTGTCTGAAGGACAGATGGTGGATGGGTCCAAGTATGAGCCCCGATCTCCCCAGGTCGCATCGTTCATATGGGGGTGTGGATATGAAAGGAAGGCCTAGGTGTCACTCCTGTGCTGACAGCCCCGAGGCCCCTCCCTTTGCTCTCGAGGGGTGACTGCCTGGCGCCCGCGGGTCTGGAGGACTGGCCGGGCCCTGATACACTGCTCACGCGGGATTGATTTGCTCCTGGGGGTTTCGCCTCGCCTCGTGGTGGGTGGTGGTTCGCGGCTTCATCCTGGAGTACAGGACCCTGCGCCAGCGGCCTTTGTGCAGCGCTGGGCACGTTCCTCAGGCAGCTGAGATGGCCAGTTCTGCGGAGTGATGCAGTGGACACTCTGAGAGGCGGGGGAGTGGGGACCACACAGCAGGGCCATCGTCCTGGGTCCACCTGCGATGGTGGCAGCGTGGGCCAGCCCAGAAGAGGCGGGTGGAGGAAGCCCCTGGGGCCTGGCAGGGACCCAGGGTGAGGGTAGTACACAGAGGCAGGGAGATGGGCTGAGAAGTGTCCTGGTGCCCACCCCCTCTGACAGCTGAGGGGCGCAGGGGGACCCACAGAGAATGTGGTTCGTCGCTGCCCAGGGATCTGCAGTGTCCCGTACGTCATCGTGCCTGAGTGAATCAGTACTGAATGAATGTGGAAAATGAGGAGAGTCAAGGTAAGTGTGAGGACGGATGGCTCTGGTTCTCACCCTGTCACCACGAGTGCCCGTCAGCGTTGGCTCGTGAGCCGTCCGGGCCATTTGAGACAGAACCCTTTCTCCCCTTTCATTAAAAGGGGAGCTCCTGCTTTTTGTGAATCAGCTTTTAGCCCAGCGATAGCTTTAGCTTTTCTCCGTCGCCTGCTTCGTGTGCTGTAGATGAACCGGGTAGAAGTTGTGTTGTGGCTCCCTTGGCCAGAGCGCCCACTCTCCCCCTTCTCCCTTCAGAACCGCTCCTCGTGCCCAGAGCCCCTGACAAGGCCGGTGACCCCACGCCAGGGCTGGTGGGAGGCTGGCCCAGCGTCGTGAGGTCCCTCCCTTGTCAGTGCGCAGGTTTGTGATTGTTCTTGGGGGACGTTCGGCCCCAGGCTGGGCGCCTGCCTTTTCCCCAGCTGCCATGTGATGATGGAGGGCTGCCGGCCAGGCTGCCGGGGAGGGAGTGGTCAGCTGTGTCACCGAGTGGGGAGGCCTTGGCCTTGCCTCCTCATAGGGGTGGCGGCTTGAAACCTCACACCCTCCTTCAGTGTCGGAACTGATGGACGTCTCTTTGGTTTCCTTGAGCACTTTCACTTGGTGGGATTTCCAGAAGGATCCGAAAGTGCTTTTCCATTGAGTTCCAGGAGGTGGGCAGTGGCCTCCAAGTCTCCGCCCTTTGGGCTGGTCGCTCCTCAACATATTTCCTAAGTAAAGGAGTGAATGAAGCCCATCACCAGACACGTACGGCACCGAGAGTGCAAATACCGAGCCCAACTCGGGGAGACCCTCCTGTTCCCCACCTCGGGGACCCTCCAGCCTGCACCTGGGGGCCTGCACTCGGCCAGCCTCGGTCAGCCCCCTCCTGTGGGCTGGCCCCTGGGCCGTTGTCGGGCCTGTGCGGTGGGTCAGCGAGCCCGCCTGGCTCTCTCACACCTTCTCCTTCTGTGTGTCTTGCAGGTGTTGGGGTTTGAGATCGACGCAGTGAACTCTGTCCAGTTTTCAAACCACACAGGTAAGGCCTTGGCCTCAGCGTCATCATGGGGCTGTGTGGGCGTGAGAAGTGGCCCTTTAAAAATCAGGGGTCCTAGCCCTCATGTGATGGATGGAGAAATGGAGCCGGAGGTGCCCCCCTTAAGGCCAGAGGGGCTGGGGTCTGCCTGTCTTGGAGCGTGGCCCGCTGCCTCTGAACCTCCGCTCGGCCGCATTGGAGCTGGGTGACCAGGGGCATGTGGCGTAACCTCTCAGTGCCTCAGTTTCCTTCTCCGTAAAGCAACGACAGCGATCCCAGCTCCTGCTCTAGGGCCATGCCATCATCTGAGTGACGCATCTGCTCACACCCCCGTTGTCTACCGGGGTGACGCTGTGGGCTGTGAGGAGGGCCCCACGTGTGTGTGTGCTTCTGGTGGACATGTGGGTAGATCCTGATTTCTCTATTAAAAACCAGTGCAGGCCAGCCCTGGTGGCCTAGTGGTTAAGTTCAGCGTGTTCTGCTTCAGCAGCCTGAGTTTGGTTCCTGGGCACAGACGTATGCCATTCATCTGTGGCCGTGCTGTGGCGGTGGCTCACGTACAAAAAGAGAAAGATTGGCAACAGATGTTAGCTCAGGGTGAATCTTCCTCAGCAAAAAAATAAAAATAAAAACCAGCACCTGGGGGAGCCTGTGTGTATGTCTCTCAGCACACGGGGACCCCAAGGATTCCTGTGCACAGAAGCCTTGAAGTGGAATTACTGGCTCAAGGTATGTGAGGGTCACTGCCCTTGGAAAGCCCTCGAGTTGTTGGGGCGAGCTCCCGAGCTCAGGGCTGTCCTGCCCCCTGATCCCCACACTATGCGCTGCAGGAGAATGACGCTGCTCAGTTCTTGGAAGCATTGCCACGTTGCCTCTTCTGAAATTACTCTGAACCCAGGTGGAACCTGGGGAGCACAGAATGTCCCGGGAACAGCCTGGTGTTGCGCCAACAGGAGACGCGGGCTGGTGCCTTGGCCTCAGCCCGCATAGGGAAGATTTTCTGTAATCTCTTGCATGTGATTTTTCTTGGAAAGGCGGGGGTGTTGCAAGCCATAAATCGAGCGGGAAGAATTACGTGCTGGGCTTGAGTGAAAAGGCTACAGTTCTAAAAGTCCTTTCCTGCTTTTGCTCTGCCAAGTATGCAGGGTGCCCTGAAGCTTGGAGAAGTCCCAAAAAGTTTAAGTCGAAACAAACAAAAAGTTTAAGTCGATCCAGCAAACTTCCCCAAATCCCACGTTTTATTGGCTGTTTTAACTACCCTCCTTTTTTTTTTTAAGTAAATGAGCCAAACTGGCGTGGACATTAAATGATGGAATTAAATTTATTGCTGAGTATCATATTATTCCATAACCAGCATTAGTTCAACAAAAGCAAAGACCTGGCCCAGAAACTCCTGTGCCCTTTGCACCAGATCCCAGGGTGAGGGGTTGGGGCTCCTGGGGGCTTCAGTAGTGATTGGCTGTCTTCTGGGCTCCTGTGGTGCCTTCTCAGTTGGTGGTGGACTGGCCATCCTGAGGGGTCCTGGACAGAAAGGGGCCTTTGGCCTGCTGCTGGGGGGTGGATGAAGACAGACTGCCCGCCCACCCCGTGCCTGGGAGCCCACGCAGGCGCAGGGCTGGTTAGGGCCAAAAGGAGGATGGGGGCTTCCCTTCCAGAGGGGCCCACCCCTGTGGTTCCTGGGAGCCCCCGGGGTAGAGAAGAGCCTGCTGCCCCCAGCCCAGCCTCTTCAGGTGCCATTTAGGGCCTGCCTGGCGAGGGGACCCCTCAGGCAGCTACAGTCTGTGGGCGACTCCGAGCATCCTGCACTTGGGCCCATGGGGCTGTCTGTGCAGCCTAATCGGGGCTTCCAGGGGGAGGCCTCCCCAGGGCCACCTCTGTGGCTCAGGTGCCACCACCCCAGCCTGGAGTAGCCAGGTGAGGCCTCACTGTGCCTCTGAGCCCGTGTGCCCCTTTCTGTTCCCCTCACCCCTGCCCAGACTCTGCTGCTGAGACGTGAGGCTGGTGTTTCTCTTATAGCAGCCCCCGTGGCAGTGTGACACGTGACACCTGGGGAGCCATGGGGGCTGGTGGTTAGGACACGGAACTCAGCTGCCCCCATGCAGCCACACGGCCCCCACTCTCGGGAGCAGAGCTGAATCGCTCACCGTGTGTATATGACGCCCACGATGACCTGTCTGTTCTGTCCTGGGCTTTGGACCCAAAAGTACTTGCTATTTTTACCTGTTTTTTTTTTAAAAGAACTGGAAGCACTTAATTTTTTTTACTGCACTCGCCTCCAGCGAGCGTCTATTAAGGCCTGTCTATACAGGGAGAAAGATTTACTGCAGGGCCATGTGTGAACCGTCCGGTTAGAGGCTGTCCCCACTCGTGAACGTCCTCATCTGTGCTTCTCAAGCTATCTGGCTTCTCAAGCTGTCTGGCGGAGGCCTCACTGTTGTGTTAGTTCCATGATGTGGTCCTACTGTGCGCTGAGTGCTCAGCTCAGGCCATGTGTGACCAGCCTCGAGAGTTCAACCACAAACTTCTACACCCTGCTCCACAAGCCGCCCTGCAGATCCTGCGCTGGGACACCTAGCAGTGCCAGATTACTCAGAGGCTCTGAACACTTCCACCCGTGTTGCTTGTCTCCTGGGGTCGGGGTCGCCCAGCGCGAGGGCACTTCCATCAGCTCTGGTCCCAAGTACGCAGTCCTGCTAGCCAAGATTTGCCTCCTCCTCCAGGTCAGAGATCCTGCCTTTTTTTTTTAAAATAACATCTTTATTAAGATATTTACATACCATAGAATTAATTCACCCAGTTAAGTGTACAATTCAGCGGTTTTTAGTATATTCACAGAGTTGTGCAACCATCACCACTGTTTCCAGAACACTTTCATTGCTCCAGTGGAGACCATACCAAAATAACTGTACCCATTAGTGGTCCCTCCTCATTCCTCCTCCTCCCAGCCTCTGGCGACCACCAATCTACTTTCTGTCTGTGGAATTGCCCATTCTGGACATTTCATGTAAATGGAGTCATACAATATATGGCCATTAGTGACTGGCTTCTTTAGCACAGCCTAATGTCTTCAGGGTTCATCCATGTTGTAACATGTATCAGTACTTCCTTTTTAAGGCTGAATAATATTCTACTGCATGTGTCTACCACATTTTGTTTATCCATTTGTTCACTGATGGAAATTTAGGGTTATGGATCATGGCTATTATGAATCATGCTGCTATGAACATTTGTCTGCAAATGTTTTTGTGGATGTGTTTTCAGTGTTCTCCCATTTTTACCTAGGTGTAGAATTGTTGGATCAGATAGTCACTCGATGTGTAATTGTTTGAAGCACTGCCAGACTGTTTTCCGAAGTGGCCGCGTTATCTGACGTTCCCACCAGTGATGTGTGAGGGCTCCGGTTTCTCTGCATCCTCACTAGCACCTGTTATTATTTGTCTTTTTTATTCTAACCATCATAGTGGATTTAAAGTGACATGTGTCAATGCAAATAATCCATAATCAATCTATAAATCAAAATTAGGGTGAGTTTATTATGAGCCAACTTTTGAGGACCATGGCCTGTGACCTTTCTTCCCTAAGGAAGGAAGGGCACCGAAGAAATGGGGTGTACAGAGTGGTTATATCCTGTCTTGGAACAAAGAGCCTACATCATGTATGATAAGAATGTCCCCTTTACAATAGTCACGAGATTGCTTTGCTGGCACAGCAGGTCAGTGGTCACAAGGTGAGCACAGCAGGTCGGTAATTAATCTTTAGTTTCTAGAAAGAGATGCTTATCCTTAAGGAAATGCTGATATGGGGGGACATTACATCCCTATCTTTAAGCGCATCATTCTTGTCTTTGGGACATAGTAAATGCTTAAAGCAGATGTACAATGCATGCTTAACAGGCCACATCAGGCCTTTTGGAAAAACAAGGTCAGGCTGAAATTAGTTTTAAACCAAATGGCGTCCTCATATAATCCAGTATATATGCTATTGCTTGTCATTTATTCATCAGATGTCATTGTGGTTTGAGTCAGAAGTCACTCTTAAGATTGAGGCCAGAGAGCCTGCTTCCTGGGGGAACAGGTGTCCAGAGCTGGGCTGGCAAGCCTTCCCTGTCAAGAGCCAGATACTAAATAATTGAGGCTTTGCGACTTGTGTGCTGTGGAGCACGAAGCAGCCAGAGACAGCATGTAAAAGAGCGGGTGAGGCTGTGTTCAAGTGAAGTTTAAACTTTATTTATGGACACTGAAAATGGAATTTCATGTCATTTTCACAAGTCATAAAATATTCTTGTTTTCCCAACTGTTTGAAAATGTAAAAACTCGTTCTTGGGTTGGAGGCTGTACAAAACACCTGTGGCCGGCCGGATTTGGCCCCGAGGTCATAGTTTGCTGACTCCTGATCTGAATCAGGGTTTCTGAAATTTCCATGTGTCTGAGAATCGCCTGGGGCCTTGTTAAAACTGAGTGCGGGGCTCCACCCCCAGGGATTCTGACACAGCAGGTCTAGGCAGGGCCTGAGAATATGCATTTCAGATGCTGCTGATCAATCTCGGAGACCCCGCTGTGGATGGGGGGGGTCTAGATTAATCACGAAAGATGGGTAGGTTGGGGTAGGGAGGCTTTGGGAGCTGAGAGGTTGGGGGAACATTTTCAGGGGGGCAGATAGCCCTGGTGTTCCTGGGGCAGACCCCCACTGGGCCACTTGTCCCCAGGACCACCCCCAGGTCCGGTGATTGGCTAGGAGGACTCACAGCTGTGCTGTATGACAGCTAAGGGCCACAGAGCTAACTCAGTGCAGGGAGAAGGCATGTGGGGGGAGGTCGGGGGACACCAGGCACAGGCTTCCAGAGCCCCTCCCACCGAGTCACGCAGGACACGCTTAACTCCCCCACATGGAGCCGTGACAACACGTGTGAGATGTCGTCTACCAGGGAGCTCGTCAGAGATCCGTGCCTGGGGATTTTACGGGGGGCTGGTCCTGTGGGCAGCCTCTGCCTGGCACGTACCAAACTCCAGACTCCTGGGGGGAGAGCAGGTGTCAGCACAAAGTGCATTGTTTGCGCAGACAGTGAGCCTCTCTTCTCAGTCCTGCAAATGAGGGGACTCCAAGTTGCCCGGCGCCCGCAGGGGCGTCCTGGCAAGCTGGCCTTTCTGGGGACAGCTGTCTCAGGATAGCTTTCTGCACAGTTTCCCCTGGCCCCCATTCTTACAGGCCCTTCTCCAGCAGGCAAGGCCACCCCCTCCATTCATTTTCTGCCCTCTGGAAAGTGGGGAGGCTCCCCATGGCCTCCCCTCCGGGCAGCGCCAGGCTTTGAAGCAGCCCCTGCCCACCCAGCCTATCACGTTGCTCCTCCAGTGTGGGTTTCCTTGAGCTCCCTGTGACCCAGGACCCTGGACCCAGGGGCAGCTGGAAGAAACTGGCGGCGCCGGAGATCGGTGGGCAGGGCAGGCCCCGCTGGCCTGGCACTTAGAGTTTGGAGGGTGACCAGCTGCCAGGCCTGGTGGTGAAACCCCTGGGGGAGGGGTGGCTGGTGTGGACACAGGGAGCCTAAGGGCTGGGGACAGGCTTGCAACAGTGAGGGGCCTTCCCGGTGGGCTGGGTGGGACGGGCCCGCTGGGCCCACTCTGTCTGCCCGAGGAGCTGTGTCCCTTGGGGTCATGACCTCACTCGGCCTCTGCGGAGTTTGTTTTTCATCTATAAACTGATGAATTGGAGAGAGGGTCCGAGTGCCCCTCCCCTGTTTCAGAAGGGTCTCGTGGGCTCTGGACCCATCCTGAGTCATGGAGAAGGTGCGGCTGGGCAGGAGGGTGCAGGAAGGTCCGGGCCAAGCCTCCTCGTCTAGTCAGGAAGCTGGCCTCACAGAGGGGCCGCGTGTTCTGCCGTGGCACCCTGTGTTTGAGACCTGCCGGGGGGCTGTGTGACTCACCTTCGTCACTGTGTGTTATGGGCCGAATTGTGTCCCCCCAGATTTGTGTGTTGAAACCCCCAGCACCTCAGAATGTGGCTGTATTTGGAGATGGTGATGAAGGTAAAATGAGGTTACTAGGGTGGGCCCTGGTCCAATCTGACTGGTGTCCTTACTAGGAGAGGAGATTAGGACACAGACACACAGAGGCCATCTGAGGACAGAGGGGGAAGACTTCAGCTACACATCAGGGAGAGAGGCCTCAGAGGAACCAGCCCCGCCCACACTTTGTTCTTGGACTCTGGCCTCCAGAATTGTTGGAGCCGCCTGGCCTCCTACGGCTGCCCTAGGACACAGATATGCTACGTGTGCAGTCGCATTAAGCCCCACCCTGTCTGGAAGGATGTTTGGACAACCAAGGGGCAGGAAGGACCCTTGTTCCCCCAACCCTTGGCTGGCAGGACCTTTATGGTAGCCCAGGTCTTTGTGGAGCAAACACCTGCCTGGGACATGGCCAGAAGCGTGCCAGCTCTTGACACCTGAGCCCGAGAGGGCAGCCCCTGTGAGGAGCTGATCTTGGCCCTTGGTGGACTCCCCTGCCTCTGCCCTCCTGACCCTGAGGTTACCCAGTTAACAGGGGTCAGTCAGTTTCTCAGTCTGACGGATACACCAGTGGCTTCTGATGGAACATACAGGGTGGGCGTTTGCCTCTGCTGGATGTCTCAGGGGCCACTCCAGTCCCTGGAGAATCGCTTTGACAGGTGTTCTTGGGCGTTTGTTCCAGACTCTTCTGCACGACGGCCCCCTCTCCGGCAGGAGCCAGCCCTCCATGCGCACAGGCTGGCCGGTAGAGGGAGCCGTCGCCCTTCTCCTCTAGGCCCACATGGCCCGCTCTGTGGGCTTTGCCTGGAGGAAGCTTATAGCGGGTGAGGGGGCGGTCTGTCCGCTGGGGTCCACCACCCCGTGGTCGGGACTTGGACTTGGCTGTTGCAGGAATCAACCCTCCAAGGTTTTGACTTATATGCTTAGAAACACATCCATCAGAGGGCCTCCTCGTGGCCTAAGGGAAGCCCTCGTGGGTGAAACGCGGGGTGTCCATGGTGCGGCCCTGCCCCGGGTGAACGGGGGAGCTGCTGACCTTCTCCCTAAGCCTGTGTGGGCAGGGGTCCCGCACGGCCAGAGGGTCCCCCCAGAGATGCTCACGTGTCTGCCTGCTTGGAGGAACTTTTCACCTGGGTACCTGTCGGGGCTGAGAGCAGGAGCTGCTCCTGGGCCTGTTTCTAATTCACGTCTGGCTCTTGGTCGGGGTTTGATCCAAGACTTGCTCTGTTGCAACTCACCTTTGTGGCAGAACGGTGTGGGGTAGAGGGGTGCAGGGCGGAGACGGGACGAGCCCCCAGCTGCCAGGTGCCCGGGTGGCAGTGATGAAGCAACTCGTCCTGGATGGGGAAACGTGCGCAGTAGAGGCTGGCAGAGCAAGTGACTGTGACGTGTGGGGGTCACCCCAGGCACCCCTGCTACAGACGAGGAGAAGTTACACAGCTGTGTGGGCCTGATGTGTCCCTCCCTGCGTCCCATCTGTCAACGTGATGGGTTCAACAGGCGTCCTTAGCCGGCCTAGAGAGCTGACTGCCCTCACTGCACTGGATGAATTCCAGAGGGAACTGGCCGTGGGAGGGTGGGACCCCAGTGTCACTAACAACAACCCCAGACAGTGTCAGAGCCAGATGAGCTTTCAGGGGGTGCTTTGAGGCTGATGGTCCAGGAGGACCTCCCGAGGCACCGTGCCTGGGTGACCTCACTTAGTCCTTGCAGCAGTCCATGGGGAGAGGACCGTCTACTGGCGTCGAGGGCAACTGAGCGATTGTGTGGGCCGCAGCAGGCCATCAGGTGAACTGTGTCTCGTCCGTGTCCCCGTATGTCAGTGCCCTGAGTGTCCGGCTCTCCCCACAGGCTATGCACACTGGAAGGGTCAGGTGCTGAACTCAGATGAACTCCAGGAGCTGTATGATGGTCTGAAGCTGAACGACGTGAACAAATATGACTACGTGCTCACGGGTAAGGCCCAGAGGGAGCCAGGCACTGGAGCTGGTGGGCCTCGCTCTAGCAGAGGGTGGGCTGGGGAAGGCCTGGACCACCCGCGACCCTGCGCTTCTGTGGTCCCTGCCTCCTTCAAGGAGGGTGGCGCATGCCACCAAGAACTCGGTGGGGCTCTAGTGACCGCCATGACCCCGTAGCATGACCTTGGGGTCCTGGCCAGGCCGTGCTTGCTCACATGATGACTGTCCTGGCCATGCCAAGTCACCATGCTGGGGTTCCGGAGCCCACGGTGGGGGACAGGTGGGGTGTTGGGAGGGTGTCGGGGGGTGAAAACGCCCAGGTGAGCAACATGCTGCCACCTGGTGCGTTGGGTACATTGACAGACCCCCATGGTAAAAAGAAGAAGTATCCATTTGTATTTATATACACAGTTAAAAGGGAATACACTTATTCTTGAAAGTGAAAAGACAGAAGGAGAACATTCCTCATACACTGTTACCGCGGCCTCTTCCTTTCGTTTAAAACTTGACATTTCTTTGGGAAATGCCTGGTGTCCCCTCAGTGACTCTGCTTGTTGGGGGACACTCCGTCTTAACCATGGCCCCAGGATCTGAGGACCGCCCGCCATTCTCCAGGGCGGAACGCTTTCGATGGCGCTCTTTTCTCCTTTTGCCGCGGTCGGTTGGCGTGAGCCTTCTGTTTTACATGGGTGGCCTGGATTTCCCTCCCAAAGGTTACATGAGGGACAAGTCCTTCCTGGCCATGGTGGTGGACATCGTGCGGGAGCTGAAGCACCAGAACCCCAGGCTCGTGTATGGTAGGTGCTGGGATCACATCGCAGGCACAGGTGGCTGGCCCCTTCTTGAGTGGGGTCGACCTGGGGCCCCGTGAACGGCGGCTCAACCTCCTTCCTTTGGGCCCCCTCCTTCACGTTCCTCCTCTCCCAGCCTGTAAGCTCTGCGTCTGCCGGGCCTCTGGGGATGTGAGCCTTCAGAACTCAGGGGGCTTAGAAACATCTTCACGGTGAACCTGGCGTCTGTGTGAGAGAAGCAGGTTATAAGTGTGCTGTAATCGGTGTCAGCGTGCAAAGGCCAGGCAGCCAGGCAATGCAGTGGGTTGCACGGGACCACCCCTGACCCTAGAGAGGGTGGGGGTGCACACCCTGGGCAGGGCCAGGACAACAAAATGCAAAATGCCAGGTAACAAGATAAATGAGAACAGGAGACCACGCTTTTCCCAAGCTTTTAGTTGCGTACATGAAATTTAACAATAAAAGCAAACGATAAGGGTTTTTCTCACCTGCTGCAGCTCTTGCTGATAAGATGCCCCTTGTGTCTCCGCAGTGTGCGATCCAGTGATGGGTGACAAGCGGGATGGTGAAGGCTCCATGGTTAGTAATTTCATGCGTATTTAAGGTGGTGAGTGGACCCATTGCTGTTAATCCTAACACAGGACACTGGTTGTCTAAACGCCTGACTGGGGAGACCCTGCGCTCGGGGGTGAAGACATAACCCTCATTAGGAGGAGAAGCAGCCGTAGGCAGAAGAGGTTTTCTGGGCTGGCCCTGTGGCTTAGCGGTTAAGTGCGCACGCTCCGCTGCTGGTGGCCCGGGTTCAGATCCCGGGTGCGCACCGACGCACCGCTTCTCCAGCCATGCTGAGGCCGCGTCCCACATACAGCAACTAGAAGGATGTGCAGCTATGACATACAGCTATCTACTGGGCCTTTGGGGGAAAATAAGAAATAAATAAAAATTATTAAAAAAAAAAAAAGTTTTCTGTAAAGAGTGAGAGAGTAGACATTTTCGGGCTGTGTGTCCCTGTTGTAGCCAAAAGCAGCCACAGACCGTCTACAGATGAACAGACATGGCTGTTTTCTAATAAGCTTTCATGTATGGACACTGAAATTTGAATTTCCTGTGGTTTCCCTGTGTCACAAAATGTTATTCTTCTTTTGACTTGTTTCCCCCACCTGTGTAAAAATGTAAAAATTGCTCTCAGCCCGCAAGCCGTACACAGACAGGCAGCGGGCCCAGCTCGCCGACCCTGCCGTGGGACAGAGTGGGTGACGGCATAAAGCGGAGAAGGTGGAAAGTCACGCCATGGCCTTCCTGGAAGCGTGGGATGTTAGGGCTGGAAGGACCATGCCCCGGCCTGCCCTCAGGCCCCTGGAGCCCTTGGGTCCCCACACTCTGCCCCTATGGTGTACATGTCTCGTGTGCACAGTCGGGGTGCCCAGGTTGAGCCTGGACTCGAATGTTCCCGGGTTTCGTTTCCTCCTCCTCTGTGTGCGTCAGCCTGTGCTCCTTGTCTCCTCTTTTCCTCAGTACGTTCCAGAGGATCTCCTTCCAGTTTACAGAGAAAAGGTTGTGCCGGTGGCGGACATTATAACCCCCAACCAGTTTGAGGCCGAGTAAGTAATTTGAAACGGCTAATGCTTTCAGATCTCCCGATGGGGAGAGGGACAGAGTCGTGCCGGGAGCGTCCCCACGTCCGCTCCGGGCTTCCCCGTTCAGGCCACCCAGGGGCTCCTCCGAAGGTCCTACCTTGTGGGGAGCAGAAATAGGGCACCGGGGTGGGGGGCAGGCCATCCCTGAGTCGGGCAGCCGCCTACCGCCTGAGTGCCAGGGCCGACGTGGCTGCTGTCCCTTGTTCTTGTTACATGTAAACGTTAGCCACAATCTGGAACTTCACCACACCCTTGTGGTGTGTGAGAGTCCCCTTTTAAAACTAAATTTTACCTTCGACCCGCCCCCAGACACGTCACGGTGGCCACCTGGTCAGTGATGGCCAGCAGGTGCTGGGTTAGTCCCCTGTGGGGATGGAGGGGTGTTCCCGGTGCTGCTGCAGCTTTGGGGACGTCACAGGTGGAACGCAGAGAAGTGACGTCCCACCTGTCCCTACCTATCTTCCAGGTTACTGAGTGGCAGAAAGATCCACAGCCAGGAGGAGGCGTTAGCGGTAAGGAGACCTTCCAGGGGGTGTGGGACAGGCAGCGCTGCTCACTGTGGCGAGGGGGCAGCCACACGCTCTCGGGGATGGGAGGTGGACACCCCAACTGGCCAGCATCCCAGCTTCCAGTCAGCCAGCCAGCAGGGCCGGGGGACGCGATGTAAATCTGTTTTGGCCACTTGCTTGGTCCCCTGCTGCTTAGCGCCTGTCGGAGGCTGCTCTGCTTATAACAGCAGTCCCTGTGTGAGCTTCCAGGGGCGGCCCTAACGGTACCCCACACCGCCGGCTCAGAGCAACAGAAGCATGTTCTCGTGGCTCTGGAGGCCGGAAGTCTAGAATCAAGGTGCTGGGGGGCTGTGCTCTGTCTGAAACCTGCGGGGAAGAATCTGTTCCGTGCCTCTCTCCCAGCTTCCAGTGGTTGCGGGCAGGCCTTGG